AGGACTACGAATTATTTTCTACGCCTAAGAGAATAATTTTACATAGACTGTCTTAAACATTACTACTTTACAATGCATTATAATCTATTTCTAATGTAAACTTTACATTTCTTATTACAGGTAAGGCACTGAACTCTCCCATCTTTACTCCTAGCCTCTTCCTTAGAAAAAATGTTAAGTTTAATGGTAAAGATTGAAGTCTTCCGTACATATACACTGTGCAATGATAATTATAGTCGGAAAAATTTTTTTTGTATAATTGACACACGTAAATAACTTTTTTTCAATCAGATCCTTGCAAAAATCCGTAAATACTTCTGATTCAAAATCATGTTAGAGACTAAATTTTAATCAAGAAATTTAATTTGTGATAGAATTCAAGCCATTTCTGGATTGCGTTCATAATTGAAATCACTTTCGCTAATCTGCAATAATCTGAACATGATTTATTGTCTGAGTTGGGTAAAATATTAATACTTAATCAATATTAAATGTAAAGCTTGGGAATAAATTTAAATTTGAAATTGGAAGGCCGATTTGGCTGTCGCTAATTAGATAGAACACTAATCCCGCGAAAAAAATTCGCAACGTAAAAAATATAGATAAATATTGAAAATGAAAGATTAATATCAAGTAAGCGTTTGTTTCAATTGGTTTGTTTGTCCCTTGTGGCAGCTCCAAGTTCTAGCCAAAGTCGACTCCCTGCTTGCTTGTTTCTATTGAGTTCACGATAGCCTCTGATCATCAGTTCACGGCAGATAATCATTGTAATTATTATTGTTTACTCCTTTAATATAAGCTGTAAATTGTTGAACTCACCACGAATATATGAAAATTCCATCCGATTGTGTTGTGGGATATAAATGTTATAACATTAGCCACGTTGATCAAATTGCTGAAGGAAGTAAAAGAACGAAATCAATAACCATTTAAAATGGAAATTCCATCTGATTACTTTGTAGAGATATAAATGAATAGTTACAACCTTAGCCACGTTGATCAAATCGCTGGAGGAAGTAAAAGAACGAAATCAATAACCATTTAGGCTAACTTAAGTATGAACTCTGATAATAAAAATTAATTTAATTAAAAGTTCAAATGAGAACTTAAACAACAAGAAATAACCGTTAAACTCAATGTAAGATCAAAGTTTCTCAGAAAATTGGGTTTCAGCAGCCCATTCGGTGACAGAAAATATATCTTCAATAAGAGTATACGAAATAAATCGCAATGCCTGTCCAACACGGGAGTATATTTGAGACATAGTTACGGGTAGATAAAAGAAGCAATTAACCAATAAAATATACGAAATATGAAATGAGAATGAAATGAGAAAAGAAAAAATCTTTAAAGCGGTAATAATTAATTAATAAGTTTTATTTTTTCCTTGTCTATAAATTTACATACGATTATTCTTTCTTAGTTTCTAGATTGACATCAGCTTCTTTTCTCAACATCGATATATAATCATTCACTTAACTCATGAGGAAAACATGAGGTAGAAAATCATCCCACATGTGAAATTGGCCACAATTTCACAACCCGTTTACCATTTCCATTCTTCGCGTAGTCCAATTTGGAGTTAGCTGATGTAGGAAACGCCAATTAAAATACATACATTACGACATAGACTTAAATAATATAATTTAGTTCTTCAGCCGCAGCCGTTGGACGACCAAGGACGCTGGCCGAGCCAAAAATGTCGGTCCCGCAGCAGCAGAGCAACGGGCAGCGAGGCTGCAAGCAAGACGACCAATAACGATGAGCTTACAAAGGGGCTTCCGTCGTAGACACTTTGATGAACGGCCGCGTGATGTTGCCCTGCAACACGGAAATAAGGAGTGCGTGAAAGAAGTTGATCTGTGCGAGAGAAATAAGTTGTGTGTGAAAGAAGTTGGTCTTTGCGAGAGAAATAAGTTGTGTGTGAAAGAAGTAGGTCTGTGCGAGAGGAATAAGTTGTGTGTGAAAGAAGAGAGAAATAAGTTGTGCGTGAAANAGGTACATGAGATGTAGGTACATGAGATGTAGGTACATGAGATGTAGGTACATGAGATGTAGGTACATGAGATGTAGGTACATGAGATGTAGGTACATAACATGCTGGTACATGAGATGTAGGTACATAAGATGCAGGCACATAACATGCTGGTACATGAGATGTAGGTTCATACATGAGATGTAGGTACGTGAGATAAAGGTACATAAGATGTAGGCACATCAAATGCTGGTACTATGTACCCACCTGTACGGATACACCACCTCTCGGTGAGTTGTAGTCAAGCCGTTCAGTGCCACGGAACCAGAGATTGGTAAAATGGTAATTATGAACTAAAAGTGAAGTGGAAACAGAGAAATTAATTGGTAAAATGGTAATTATGAACTAAAAGTGAAGTGGAAACGGAGAAATTATTTGGTAAAATGGTGATTATGTACAAAAAGTGAAGTGGAAACAGAGAAATTAATTGGTAAAAAGGTGGTGATAAAATAAAACTGTAGTTGGAATTGAGAGTGGTGGTTATTTACTAATAGTGTAGTCGCAAAAAGGAAATTAATTGGTAAAACGGTGGTGATAAACTAAAAGTGTAACCGAATAGAGAAATTAATTAGTAAAACGGTGGTGATAGTTCCGACAAAACTAATAGTTTTGTCATGATCAGCGAAATTAATTGGTAAAATGAGGACACAGAGACCATTTTGTTGGTAGAAATGAATAATGGCATTATTATGCTCCCGATTTCTGAATTTGCGTTTCATTCCTGAACCTATGCATAGGAACGGAATCAGTAAATTTAAATTTGCCGCGGAGAAAAGTAAACATCAAGGACAAAATCAATAATAAATTGTAAAGTAATACTTTAATTTTAAATAATTCTCGAGTTCCATTGTGGGTGTAAGTCAACCTTGGAAAGTTATCAGCTTTCATTATCCTTTACTTTACTTCTTAATGTGTCGAAATATTAGAATATTATAGGCGAAGTAAAATTTGTTTTAATATGAAAGAATTTCTTAAAATATCTTTCTCATTTAATTTTCTCAACTGTTTAAAAGCATGAAACAATTTTCAAATGAAAATTATTTGCACTATATGTTCACTTGAACTTGAATTGAATTTGGTATAACTTGAATTGTAATTTGGTATGTCCAATGCAATGTTTAAATTGGGGAAAAGTAGTAGGAAAAAATGTATTAATAAGTACTTATGACCGATCAGTGGTCGACAGGGTTGCCACAAGGTTATCATTTTTATCACGAAATTTCATTAGAATGGGTGATGTAATGAGATCAGTATAACTTAATGTGGAATTAGTATTGTAATGAGATTAGTACCTCGTAATGTAGCAGTAGCATGAGCGAAAATGGCTGAAATGTTACTTCACATGGCCGTGCATAACAGGATATAAAGTCTTAAGGCTATGTTATAAATCAAGAATTTAAAAGCTATAAGAACGCCAAGTAAATTTATCATATCTTCAATTAATGAGAACATTTCGGTGACAAGCTGAATCATCTGTTCAAAAAATAAAAAACGTATAGAATTATTCTTGTTAGTAGGTTTTTAAACAAACACAAGTTAATAACGAATCGAGTAAGCAAGCAGATCATTGAAATGTACTCAGGATGAATATATTTAATTTTGTTAATAGTTATGCAAGTTGGGGAAAGCATATGATGTAGAGTGTAGTTATTTTTATAAATACATAATATCAGTACGAAAGCTGATTAGTTTAACATTCATGCCATATCTAGTCGAAATTCCGCGAAAATACGAAATTATTGTCAATATTTGAGCTTCTAACGGTCAAAGTTTCGGTCCCAGCCAAATAATCAGAACATATACTTTCAGAAAAAGTTAAGAGATCGTAAGTTCATCAGCCAATCATTGACGGCCTTTCAGGCAAAATCCACCAATCACAGACAAGAGAATAGAGCGTAAATACTTACGTTCACTTATATAGCTAATTTTGAAAGTATGGTCCCTGGACATAATGAGCGACTAGAAGACGGTACCTCTATTAAATGGTCTACAAAAGTAAGGATTATTTTCTAGGTTGGCGTTCACTTATTGCTCGTTATCTAACATGGATGGCGTCACGCTTTGCAAGCGACGTCGTACACGCCTTTTTGTCATGCAAACAGGATTATTTTTCTATCCTGCCATTAATATTGACGTAGCTGCTCCAGTTTGTGAGACGGCGAGAAATTTCATCCATGTTATACTTTCCATCCAGAGGCCTGTCAACGAGGATAAAGCCTATGCTTTTTCCATACATTTATATCCCGTCGTCCGTTAGACGGATTAAAGTCCAATCTGTTCATCCGTGTCGTCCGTCTGACATGCATGTCCAAAATTACCTTTGTGAACGAGCTTCCATAGACAAGACATAATAACGTATTTAAATACTAACGATTTTATGTTTGAGTCGTAAATGCACGAAGTTATTGAGGCAATGAGACAAGAAATCCTTTTAAGATCATATTAGTTTATGGGACAGCAGCGGTCAGGATTCATTCATTCCTTCTCTCATATGCAACAAATTAATGCAGCGATCTCTGCAGAAGCTGCCAGCAATGCCTGTTCAGTTTAATAGACAATCTCAAACTAAACTATATATTCAAGAATTAATACAGACGGAATCCAAGAGACAACGATGTTAAATTCATTGTTGGTGGAGGCATCCATGTTGAATCGTGTTAAAGCAAACGGTAGCATGACTTGCTCGAGCTTCTGTTGCAGTGATTGCCAACTAAGAGCTAACGAGACTCTAGCGCCTGAGTGAACAAGCACTCACTATTCTTAGACCACATGCCACATGAGGCAGAATGTTAACTGAAATTTATACAACAGTTAACCGCAGTCCCGCACAAGCACTTACTAAGAGTTATTGCCGTGCCTTGGAGAATACGGTGATAGTAAGACGACTGGATTAAGGAATAAGTGAGTAGATTTGATTGATTCACTTGAAGCAGTAGAGAATATTATATTGAAAAGATTACAGATAACAATTGAACGTGGTAGTACAGTGTTGAAATTCTGAAGACGCTGTGACATTTTATTTTCGAATCGAGCTTAATAAATTATGAAAACTCTATAGCTTGACACTCATCGGTTGTAAATTAGATTGAATGGAATCTAATTGTAAGGGATTTTTGGTCTTAGGAATTTTGCAACAGATCTTCTGGCAACATCAAACCAAATAGTGTAAGGGCCTGTCTTACGGTTTGGTCATTCATTATTGTTACTTACTAAAGCCAGTCGCAGGTATTCTTGCTCATGGTAAGCGTCTGGGTAATCTAGTCTGTATTAGAATAACTGTGAGAAATATGCATAGAATTTTGTTGTAATTGTCTGGTTATTAGTTGTGCTTAATTAATTTAATTAAATGCGTGTTTATTTGTAGGAGAACTTCCCTCATCTGTTCTGCTGTTCTACTGTAATAAACTTTGAACCTGGACCAATCCTATAATAACCCCAACAACCCATCGGAAGTTAGCGTTTACGAATCAAAGAAACCCATTCGTTAGAGCCTGAAGTAATAACAACATTATACTAATGATTATTTATACGGGAATAATTTTTGTTCACAAACTGATTTCCGAATTAAGTTTAATGATTAACGTATGCGCAACATTTTTTTTCGCTGAGCTGTGTTATATCAAATATAAAGCAGCCAGGTCTCTATTAAATTGCTGTCTGGTTGTAAAAATACGGCGGTTTTGGATACAATAAACTTTTGTATGGTATCAGAAATGCAGCTGAGTTGCATTAATAAAAAGTTGTTTTTATATACAACAGTTCAAGAAAAGTTCCCTGCTAACTGGAAGGATGTTCACTGAAGCTTTTATGGTTCCGTGGGTCAGTTTTTGGTTACGTGAGACGAAGGAATGGGAGAGCGCGAAAAGAAAAGTGTTCCTCCGGAGTCTTACTTTCAAACTTCGCGAAGTGAACGTAAGTACTTACGCTCTATTTTCTTGTCTATGATTGGTGGATTTTGCTTGAAAGGCCGTCAACGATTGGCTGATGAACTTACGATCTCTTAACTTTTTTAAGTATAGGCCCAGCTGGAGTCTTATTATTGTCTCTGAGTTGGTCTTTCTTCTATTAGACGTTCCAGTGAAGGTGGATAGCACAAGTAAAAATAAAACCCATCACTAACATAGTGCTTAGCTGCTTCTCAGTGTTAGCTCGTTAATCACTTAAGCTGTCATGAAACTAAAGTAGCTAGCTAGGAACTGTTCATTTACTGACGATAACTCTAGGTTCCAGGTCTTTGGAATATCATTGACGAAAATCATAATTTTTATGCAAAAATGTCCTAAATAACGTAAAATATTAATTTATAACATCGACAATCGTTTCAAAGCCATCCATTTTAAAAATGTTCATCAAAACATTGCCATTAAGTTTGCATTATACAAAGCTACGGAAGCATTACCTGATTTTTTCTAGGAAATGCGAACTCGTGCCATACAGCAAAGTTTCAGAAAGAAAAAGGAATGAAAATATTAATGACTTCCTAGAGAAGTGGACTTCAAAGCCGCAACTCACGGCTTTTGCGAGCGTAATATGGAGTAAAAACTTTAAATTAATAAAATTAGTGACAGTGAAAAATATTTTCTGCAGCTTCTCAGGTAAAAGTTCAAGCAAAAGGGTAAAATAACACTAATTTCACGCTTATTGATGATCATAGGAGATGTCCCTGAGAGTACATAAGTTGAAGCTAAGTACACCACGAGCGATGATGATTTTCAGCTTTCATTGTCATGGACTTCGTCTATCATAAAAAAAATATAACTCAGTACTCACTGCAGTGAGTGACAGA